AAGCTCACTCTTTACATTAAAACTTAGAGGAGGAGAGCTGCTGATAACACCTGGTGGAGCTTGAGGGCAGATTTCCAAGGCTTCAGTGCAAAGACTGATAGGAAGGGAGAAGAGGAACTACAATGGATTCAGGCACCATGATAGTGTGGAAGCAACTCTTTAATAGTTGCAGCATCAAATGATATTCAGAAGTTACCAGAGATGTAAAATAAGTTTTTTTGGCAGTGGTTTTGAGGGCTGCACATACAGGTAGCATCTGCGACAGAGTTTCTTATTGTCTCAGAGAAGATTAATGTGGTTCTCTGTGTTTATAAATTTGAATAATTACATTCTGACACTAATTCAAATTCAGGGCTTTTTTTCTTGCTTTCCCTTTGGTTGTTTCCTATAAGAAGCCTAAAGGAACTTAGGGATGAAAGAGCAGAGGGATTCTTCAGTGAAACTGCTTCTTTGACTTTCAGCATTTACTCTATGACAAGACACAAGGAACATGTCTTTTCTCTAAAACTTACTCATAATCCATGAAAATTTCATTTCAAAATTACTTATTTGAGGGCTCAATATGGAAACATCTATCTAGTTCAGAAGTACTACTTTATTTATGGGCTCCATTCCACTTCCAGTCACAGTTTATGAAACCTTTACTCTCCATAGCTCCACCCCCGGAAAAAAAAATTAGAAAAGAATGTTCTTTTGGTACAAGACTAGGGAAAAAAGTTGATTTCCTTCTCAGTCTTATGGACTCTGACATTCTGTATGCTTCTGAGCAGAGAGAAGGAGCTCCAATATTACGCACAATACAAAACCTTGAATAGATGCAGCGCTCTAGTTGTGCTAGTTACTTGGTAGTTTGTCCCCTTGAAGGTAATTGCACTAGAGCAAGAGGACAGAACAATTAATTAGTGGAGCCAACAAGCAGAGGATAGCAGAGCAAGAGCCATGGGGTGAGATTGTGTTGGGGGAGAAGGCAGAGTTCACTAAAGGAGGCTCTAATTATTGTGGGAAAAGAAACACCGAAGAATTGCTGCAACAATGCAAATGAGTGGGTGTAAAACTCAGCTCTACATGATGTAGACAGCACTTGAATACAGATCTAAAAAGACCCCTACTTTATGCATGAGACGTTTCTTAATAAAATGCCAAAGGACTGGAGAGAGCTGGAGGTGATGGTAAGATTTTAGAGGGAAATTTGCAGCAGTAACAGAGAAAAGAAGATTTAAAGTACTTTGCTACACAGGAAGCCAGAGAGAAAATGCTGAGGACACATATTTTTAGAACAGGGGAGAAGAAGAGACCAACTAAAATAATAATACTAAATAATGTGCAAGAAGTCTATTGCACTACAGAATGAAGATGAGAAATTGGAAAATAGATTGTTATGAGAGAGAGGTGTTTGAGAAGGCTGGCTTGCTCATGGGAACCAGGAAAGGGGGCCGATCAAGGAAAAAAGCTGTATGCTGGTTTGCTCATGGGAACCAGGAAAGGGGGCCAATCAAGGAAAAAGGCTGTATGCTTGAAGTCAAGAAGTTACAGAAAATTTGAGAGTAATCAAAAATTAAGAAGGTTAGACTTCAGGACTCTAGAGTTTTTTATAGGGTAAGAGTTTTCTGCAAATGGTGAAAGACTCTCAGGACATTCCAGGATTTTGAAAGAAGTGGACATAAAGTTCTGGCAGGGAAACATATTGAGGTCTGAGCCACCAGTCATGAAGAAAACACTGGCAGTAGTTCCCTTTTACCCATAGAAACTGAAAATGGTATCACCAGTTTCTAAATCCCTCATAAGATCTGAGTACATTGTATGCTTCTGGTCACTTGTTTTCAAGAACAAGGAAGCAGATGAGGAATAAAGATATAAATAAAGAATGAAAATGTAGTTCAAAATAAGGAGAAAAAAGAGAAGACCTTTGCCAATAGAACCAAATGGCATAGCCTGGAAATATACTTTCTTATTTATGAATATCTTATCTCAAGGATTCAAGGAGACATTTATAAGCAAATATTAATAAAGAAGTTTAGATATATGGTCTAAACATAGGCAGAAACATGTAATTTTAACTGTTTGTATTTTCCATCACATGTAACTTACATACTGTCAAAAGCCACAAATATTTTCTTTTGAGCAACTTAGATTATTGTTTCTGTGACAGCCAAACCAGCAAAGTCATTGACTGTTTCTGCTTTGTTAAAGAAAGGTTTTTTCATTTGCTTGCAGATTTGCTTCTTTAAAGAGAAAACAATACAACTGTACCTTAGATATCACTCAGAGGTAACTGCTCTTAAAATGCTTAATTTAAGTTCATTATTAAAAACCAGCATTTCCTGCCCAAACATTGCGTATATCATAATTTATTTTTGGAAGAGCATATATTCACTTCCAAAGGCTTTAATCTTTAGAGTAACAAGTAATCAGGACACAAGCTACAAGCTACCAGAGATGTAATGAAGACAGAGAGTAATTAGTTAATGATTACACAGAGTAAGAAATCAAAACCAGACATTATCCAAAGAAAATTTTGACATTACAACATTATGTGTTCAAGGCAGGAGAATGATTTGGAAAAGCTTCTAATCCGGCTAGCAATGCTTCTGTTGTTGAATAATAGTTTGGATGAAAGAATTAAGAAATTCAAATAGAAAATGGCCCTGCATTAGGCCTGCAAAGGAGTGTGTTGGGGGATGTAGCTGACATTGAAACCTCTTCATGAACAAATGGAGTACCCTTTAGAATATGCATGTAGTATATTTTTCACATATTTATCATCAGTACAAGATTTCTATTACTTCTAAAAACTAAGCATTTATTTCACACCAGCAATTATTACAATAAAGGTTACCTACAATATTTAAGAAAACCAAAGATGCAGATATTCAGTCATTAAGAACACAGTGTTCCAGTGTCATTACAGTGAACAATTATTTAAAATAAGAAACAAATAACAAACTAATGATAACCCTGGTCCATTATTCACTAGATATAATATATAATTTCCTCACATGAAAACTTTGTTCTGGAGCATAAATTTTACAATTCATTTGGTCTGGACCTCCCTCTCAAATCAATTTTTTAAGGCCCCATAACACTAATTATAAATTATAAAGCTATTATAATTACAAAGCTAGTTTGTGCTTATGGACCCATCATAAGTCTTTCATATTTTAATTTGTTGGCACCTCATCTCATTTCATAAAATCTAGCTTATAGAATGATAAAAATGTTTAGCTACTGTAAAATATTTCTAGTATACTTTAAATTATTTTCTTAAAACATGCTTTCTTCAGCTGTATTCACCAATCAGTTTAAAATTACTTTAAATACACTTGAAGTTTCCCCACAAGGCTACTTCTGACTTCACTTAGATAATAATAATACTAAAAAATACCCCAAACCCAACCAAAATAGGATATTTTCTAAGGATTAGCATATCAAATGAAAGAAGTTAGTATGCAGATTTAACAAAAGCAAACTAACAAAATCCAAACCCAAAAGAAATAACATGGCAATTTCAAATCAATGTTAGCTGTGAAAAGGATAAAGCCTTTCTGTTATATTATAGCAAAATGATTTAGCTCTTTTCACCATATTTATGCAGTTAATAATTCTTTTCCTTTTTTATCCTGTATATGTGAAAACCATACATGTACAAGTACTTTGTATTTTGGGTTTAGTAATCATATTTTCAATTTCCATTTGTTGTGGAAGCAGTGACAGGTTTAGCCTTGCTTGTAGAGTTACTTTGGCTGATGATAACACAGCATGTTCCAGATGGAAGTTGTTCAGAAGATGTAGGAGATGTTACCTGCTCTGTCCTTACTGAAATTTAGATTGTCACAGTATCATTCACTCACATAGCTTTTATTTAACAGGTTTTGGACAAACAAAGAGGATAAAAGGGACTGACACTGCGTCCCATTATTGAATGTGGAAATTTATGTAGGATTAGGTAACTATGCTATTTCAGCTCTATCTTTGGGGATTGGAAACAAAATAATTGCAATGTATATAAAGCATTTTCTATTTAAGAGAGTAGCAAATATTTGTTACAAATACTTTCCGGAAATCCTGTCACACGTGTGATCATTACTCTGCTGGCTCTGCTTTATTAAGGTGGCTTTAAGCAAGTAAGCTGCAATCCTGACAGTGCATGGACTGACCTCCCATTTGGATATTTTCATCCCTTCTCTGGTCCATTTTTAAATATTTACTTGCAAGTTTGCAGGTAAAGAAATGTCATTTGAGTCAGTTATAGAGTATTGCATGTTGGATAAGGAACAAACCCTTGGGTCAAAACCACTGCACTGCAGCAGATAATTAACCTAAGCCTGTGAGGGAACTTCATCAGCTAAATCAAAGGGCTTGTGACTTTGGAACAAAGGTTACCAGGCTGTGCACAGGAAAATGTTTCCTGATGGACAACACACAGCTTCTCACAGCTTCTCCTTATTTCCAGTTGCTAAACTCCACTGAGGAAATTCTTAAATCCATCATTGCCCACTATTAGACACACATACACTGTGTAAAGAAATGTAAGTATATACTATATCTAAATATTTTATTTAACATTTGTACGCATAACTATAGTGTTTTATGCATTCGATGTAGAGTCTCACATATATGCAACCACAGTATTGGAGTTAAAGTTGTAGGCAATTAATTGAATTTGGATAAAAAATGGTAGCCAGGGGAGAGGTGGAAAACAAAAGTTATTTAATATTGGCTCTGCATTAAATTGCAGCCTGCAGTATGAATTGATAAATAAATAGGGAGTCCAGGATGAGTTCAGGTTTTCACAGTGTGCCTTCAGCATCTGATTTTCTACCAGCTGTTTGGTAAAGTGATTATGTATTTCTCCAAGCTACAAATCAGTTGGTCTTTCCAGCTACACACAACAGGGTTGTCTTTATTGGAAGTCTTGGAAAATTGGTTAATTAAGTCAGTACTAAAGCAAAATTCTGTGGAATCAAATTGTGACAAGGTATCACCTTGGCTGTGTCTTTCAGAAAACACACCTGAAAAGTATTTGTCTGAGGTATCTGCTTCTGAACAGCCATTGCTTTTGCCTTTTACAGAATGGGATGGGACTAATCATCTTCTTCCTATGGTAAGTTAATGTCAATCAGACAGTAATTACAAATTATTTACTTTTACTATCACAGCTGTTACTTGTCTTCAGTCACTTCAGAGAGTGGAGACACTCTTTTACACTTTAAAAGAATTTTAGGTATTTTACATTAGGTAATTGAACCTTTCTCTTGCATTATGCTCTCTAAATATGGCCTTCTAAAAAACCCACATTGTTTATACTGTGTGTGACATGAGATACAGTTTTTATGTATCTATGTGATTTTATGATTTGTCAAATATGCTTGCTTGCCCCAAACATTTACTATATGTATTTACATGTAAACACTGTATCTGCAATATCTTACAATGCTGAGTCCTTTTTTTCAGCATAAATGTTGTAGGTACCTCCCATTTAGCCTAATGGGCACTGTGTCTCTTCTGTTCTAGTGCTTATGTACCAAAGACAGAAGCCGGTCATTGCAAGTGGGCAGAAGTTCTGGAAGATTTGGAAAGGATCAAGACATCCAAAGTAAGTTCATAAAACAGTCAGCATTTCATATAATCATAGATGAAGACTTAATAAAATATTTAGCACTGCACTCAGCTAAGTAACGTTAGTGAGAGCGAGAGGGATGGTGTTTGTTAGCTAATGCTTATAATTCCAACTCTTGTTTTCTTGTAGGATATTGATGTCAGTTTATACACTGCAAATGCAGATGAAGATGTAAGTAAACTTCACATATGACCACAACTAATGTTTAATGTGGTGGCTTCATAGCCTTACTAGAAATTACCCCCTAAAGTAGACTTGTTCTAATTTGATAAAAGTATCTAAAATCAAATAATTTGCCCTGGAATAAATAGTTCTTCTAATCAATGTGTTTATGATAAATTATGGAAGCAGGTATTAATTATCCTTATTTAGTCATCTGCTGCTAAAATTAATCAATTGAAAGGGATGATCAAGGCCATGTTGGGTGGGGCTTTGAGCATCCTCGCCTACAGAAAGGAGTCCCTGTGCACAGCAGAGAGGTTGGAAGTACAGAATCTTTAAGGTCCCTTCCAAACCAAACTATTCTGTGATTATGTGATTCAAAATAAATTTTTCAAGGCAAACAATGCTAAAATAATTCTGGGATTAATTTTTCATTTTTCATTTCATTTTTCATTTAAGGTAGCATTACCTCCTTCCTCTACTCTCTTACCCATTCTGAATTTAGATCTCTGAGTTAAAGCGTTAAAACTATTAAGAATAATATTAAATAAATTCCACAATGTTTAGTTATATGTTCTTCACTAAGACACTATGGTTCACCCCATCTTAGCAAACTGCTTGGTCTTTTTGTTCTTAGCTCTCACAGCCCATTTCTGCAGATATTCAAATGTATTTGAATAGTAAAAAAAGATGCCCAGTAAGTAAAAATCAGCCTCTTTGTGGCTGATTTTATCTTAGATTACATCTCACTTATACCTGTGTTTAAATTATATAATAAGTTATGTCCTACATTTGCTTATTCCTTTTTAGTAATAAAACTATTGCAACTGTATTTTTTTTTTTCAGGAAGAATGCCAAGAACTTGTCATGAGGTGCTTTTTCTTAGAGACAGAAGTGATAATTCAAGAATGTCGTATCAAAAATTGCAGCAAAACACAGGATGTGTGGAACATATGGAAAAATGGAAATGAAAGCTTCGAAAAAAATAAGGTAAGCAACACCAATGGTGTGTGGAAAAAAGACAAATTAAAAATATTACTTCTGTAGCAGAAATACCTCTTTGTTACATAAATGGTGGGATGAAAACTAATGAGATTCCAGTAACCTGTACTCGTAGTAATGAAAAATCAGTGGTTTTTAGAAAAACACATTTAGAATTCCCATCAAAGCAAATACTTTTCTGCATGCTTACATATTTCAGGATGTTTGAATGTGTGTGTATAAATGACAGTTTGCAGCTTCAGTACCTGCAGTCTGATAAGTTAGACACATGCAGAAAAGTATCTTAACTTTCAGAGAGACAATAATTTGCATCTTTCACTGAAGTGATGTACCTCTCAAAGACAGTCTTATTCAAAAAGCCAGGAACTGCACACACCATGGAAGCCTCCACTTATATATTCCATTGCCATTACCTGCAGTGGAATTATTCCCCAAAACAGGGCAAAAAACCTAATTCTCTATCAGAATGAATGGATCAGTATCCTACTTTACTATTGCATTTTTTTTTCAGTTGACTTCCACAAAATCAGAAAAATGCAAAGCATGTGAAGAATACGAAGAAAAAAATTTTACAGAATTTGTACAAAATTTTGAAAAGGTTATACAAAGGGATTGCAAACACTGACCAAAAGAAATAAGCTGGGAAACAAGATTCTTGCAGGAACACTCTCAAATAAATTAGATTATCACCAAAAATAAACCAGAAAAAAATTACAGTCCTCTTGGCTCTCTCTTAATATATCTGTTTCCATTGTGGTTTTCAGGTAAACCCAATTACTTCTTCTACCCAAGAACTCAAAGTCAAAAATTAGAATATTTATGTGAAGACTCTTCTTTGGCCTTTTCCCCCTTTTGTACAATGCTAGCATATGGGCATTAAAAATGATCTCCAGTCTTCTCACAGAATGTAAAGCTGGTGCTTGGTTCACTTAGCCAACAACATGTTCTGTTCCTTCATTTGTTACCTGTAACATGACTTTATTCATTAATGTAATGACTACAACTTCTTTATTGATTACCAAAGATTTCAATTGAGATGTCAACCAAAGCAGTGTTAATTTAATTCTTGGAATAAAAGAGCTGATCAAGTCTCTTGCACTCTTAAAAAAAAAAAAATCTATGAATTAGGTAGAAATCTTGCCTGTGAAGTAGGGTTTGTAACTTTAGTCTCCTTTTGGGAAAGAACTTTGAAGACACGAATCACTTTTGACCAATTATTGGAAATCATAACTGTATTTCTAAGACTCAGTGTAGTCACCTGTCCTCTTGTATTTCTGTAATGTTGTCCAGTCTCCTTTGGGCTCTTTCTAAACTAACTGCTTTCCTCATGATTCATATTCATGTCATACCGGCTGCCATCCATAATAAGTAATTATTTTCTCCAGGCACCTCCATTTCTCTATCTTCAACTGATAAATGGCTGAGTCATTCAGCTGTCCACTTACTGGGAAGGAAGTTTCAATCTCATTATGGCAACAAACACACTGTCTGCTTCTCTTTTATTGTTGGGATGCTCCCAACAATCAGTCTTTAGCACTCTGAGGAGATGAATCTCCAGTAAACTGCAAGAGGAAGAACATAAATGTGAGCATGTGGGATGTCATCTTCTGGGGGACTTGTAGACAAACAGGTTGGTAAATTCATAAGCACATTGATATCAGCATTAATCACTGGTAGAAATATCACAAAAAAGAAATAAATTATTTTCCACCATAAAACATCAAAACCAGAAGTGTTTATTACATAGTTTGCATGAAATAAAATGGTCCTAAATTTTAAATTTTTCCTTAATTCAGGGATATGCACTGAATATGATTTTTCCTTACCTGATGTCACGTGCACAGGAAAGGTAACACCAAGTTACAACTTTGGTCTCTAGTCAAAGAGATAAAGGGACTTTCCTTATTTCTGGCTTAGAGAGGGAAACGGTATACTGATTATGGGGGAACCAAAGAGCTGCTTTGCTCAGAATTTTCTTTATCTTGACCGTTTTGAAAATCAATTTCCTGATTTTATTTTGTTTTTCATTAACTCATTTACCAGTGGCAAGTATGTTAAATACTGTGAATTTGTGTTTCCAAAGAATATTGCTAAGTCTGTGACCACTCAGCTTGTCACTCTGTTAGCCACTTCCTGTTGGACACTGGCCATACCCCTTTTATTTCATTTTACTTCCACCTGGTCAATGTGCATATTCTGGGATTAAAAGAGGCCATTTGCCAATCTGGATCTCCAGCATTTCTGTTAGGGCTTACTTTTTCCTGAGAGCTATGTAGCCATCTGAAAGCTTTACCACATCCTGAATTCAATGGTTGTAATAAATTATCTGGTTGGTATAAAGGAAGGACTAAATTAAGGCCAGCTTGTTATTTGGTTGGTTTGTAGTTTTTTTTTTTTTGTGTGTGTTTTTTTTTGGGTTTTTTGTTGGGTTGTTGTTTTTTTTTTGTTTGTTTTTGTTGTTGTTTTTGTTTTGGTTTGGTTTTTCTTTTTTGGGGGGGGGTTTTGGGTTTTTTTTTTGTCTTGTTTTGTTGTTGTTGTTGTTGTTGTTGTTGTTGTTGTTTTTGTGGTTTTTTTTTTTTTTTTTAAGTTAGGAAATTCATATATATTCCAGAGGAAAAGTTTCAATATGACTAAAACATCGACACATCTGATCTGACTTGTTAGTCTTGCAGGCAGAACAATGGCTACTTTTGAAGTAAACATCTCCAGGTTAGAGAAGGTGTTTCTTCTACACAGGGTTGAGTTATTTGTGTGGCATTTACTAGCTAATATTTTCCAACTGCTCTTGTCAAATATTAAGGAAAAGACTAATACTGTATTTTCTCCAACAAATCCTTGTCAGGGGACTAAGGTGACTCATAGCAGATTGTTTCTATGTAAAGAAGAAACAATAACTACCTTTTGACACCAGAAGAGAAGAAAAATGCTCTTCCATCAAAGTTTTGCACTACATAGTTCTGTTTTCCTGACTTTGCAATAATATAAAATCTGCTTTTCCTTTCCATTCCTAGTACTTAGTATCCACATTTCTTGTCTATATATTAAGAGGATAATGCAAGTAGCACTAGTGCAGATGATATCTGACATCCTCTGCCTTCTTGATGTTTTATTGGACCCTGAAGATAAATATGAGTTGTTTATGCATAGAATGTTGCCTCTAGTGGCTCCAAAATGTTTGAGCACCTGTTGATCAGGTACTGTTCAGATGATTTCACAGACATTTTAAATTCTGAACTGCAGATACCTTTCTTGTTAGGACCTTCAGTGTTTTGAGGAAAACATAAGAGGGAATTCTCTGCCTGCAGTGACATAGCTGGGGGATCAACAGCAATTTCAGATTATCCATCTTGTTCATATGCCTATGTGAGCAAAATAATAGTAAAGAAATGTACTTCAACATCCATTCCAGCTCCATGGGGCAAAAGCTCAGACAATGAATATTTGAGTCAGCCAGCCAACGTACAGAGGCAATACTTACAATGGAGGGAAAACAGCATATTTGATATATTTATATAGATATATATAGTGATATCAACAGGTATTCTCCATGGATAAAGCAGGAATTTCTGTACAGCATCAGAAGACTGATCAACATGACACTCAGCCATACTTAAAAGGGACATTCTGTAAAGTCTAAAGGGTTATATCATTTCTAGAGGCAGAGAAGAAACAAACTTTGCTCATATGAATTCTATGGAATTTTACTCTCATGCACTTAGGGAGGAAAAGAAAGCCATAGATGAGCAAGCTTAGCATTTTTTCAACAAAAAACTCAAATCAGCACCTTGAAACTGTCTCCTTCCAACTATTTTCCCTCAATGTTGGAGAATTCACCTCTTCTTATCAAAAGGCTTAATTAAGCCAATAATTAACAACTTAGACAAAAGGAAAGAAATATGTTTCATATTTATCTCACCCTCTTCTACATGCTTATTAAATGTATTTTCTTGACCAAGTCAAGCCAACCAGGAATCAAATGGCTTTGTAAAAATGGGGGGAAAGATGAAGCAGTACAATAAAGAATGAAAAATCTGTTGAGATAACGGACTTATCTGTGCCATGTTATAAGCAGCTCACTACCTCTAAAAGCTAAAAAACATATAAGAGAAACAGGAATGGAGTTGGAACATGAAAAGAAATCAGAGGGTTTTCTGGGAATTTTCTTGAGAAGTACCAAAGGCTAAAAAAGCTTATTTTAACTTTAACATACAAATTAGTGTCTTATACTATCTGAGTCCTCAACCATACAAACTTTTCCCCTTTTTTCCTTTTCCTAGCAGGACTCAATACTTCTCAGGGCTTTTCACTTCACTATATACAAAACTGTTTCTAATGAACTGTTTTTGCAAGATTTAGTAAAGGAAAACAAAGAAATGCAACTACCTTCTCCTATGTCAAGATGCTTTCCTGAAATAAAATTATAAAATACATTGACAGTGCTGCTGAAAGGACCTTCACTAAATCCCAATACAGTATTTTGTTGTGAGGTGACCAGAAGCCATCAGTTGTAGCTTTGTTTTTTTAATGCCTTTCAGGAGGAAGCAAGTGTATTCAGCTTTTCAAGATGAAATACTGAAGGACAGTAATCCTTACAGAACCTTAATGGCTGTTCTACCACACATGACAGACTGAAAGAAACTGACAAAAGAGAATTTAAGAGAAATTTAAAATATACTTATGTCATTGGAATACAACACAAACAACTATAACATTAATTGAAACAGTTTACCTGTGCCACAGATAAAACTGAGAAATCATTATTTTTAAAAGTTGCCTTTCCCAGCTCTTCTAAGAGTCACATATATCCTGCAGTTAAAAATATATTTAAAAAAAAATCTACCTGGAAACCTATAGTCTTGCAGTAATGCAGGACATATCAGTAATCCCAGTTTGAGTGTCTTTTGAGCCATTAGTTTCCCAATGAGTGAAAATTTTGTCTATGAAGAAAAGAAAAAAAACCTAATATTTCTTATGATTGATAGAATCTACTATTTTTCAATGGAGTACTGAGAAGCCAAACCTTAGTTTTGGTCAATCTTAAGGCATTCAGATGAGTTTATTCAGTAGCACATGGAACTTCCCAATCCTCCGAGGCAGTGATACTGAATAGCAGGCATTAATCATAATCCATTATAACTGGGAATTTCTTCTCCTCATTAACCTTAGTTGTAGATTTTTACATCCTGTTTTCCAAGAATCTTCTTTTTCTTTTTTCAGTTGAAGATATCAAATGAGAGATTATGTTTCCTTTGGTTTCCTTGGCAACTAATTCAAAGAAGATGAGATCATTAAGAATAATTCCTGTAACTTTTTTCTGTAACAAGCTTCCTGCTTTCATGAACCATTTGACATTTTAAAGTTTTTACCTGAAGTCTTCAGACAACATTTGTCCCTCTTACACTTCCTACTGCAGGCCAGTGACCTGGCTTTATTTTACCCCAGACAAGTTTCCCAGCAGTAGGTATCAGTCATTTGGATAAGTTAATGTAACCAAAATCCCTTAGCTGTACTGTAGTTTTATCGCATCACATAAATCCTTTTTAGGACTTCATCTCCAGTATTTTATACCACTAATAAATTATGAAGATCTACTTGGGACAACTTAGACAAAATTAATTGAATTTCTGAAATTGTTTGTAAGTTTTAAGTTCTCCAGCTATAACAGACAAGATGCAGATGTTAAGCATTGGCTTAAAGACCTAAAGGGGTTTTTTTGGTCAGTTTTATGTCCTCTTTTTTTCCTATAATGACCTTCTGAAAACACGAATAATTCTGCATAGTCTGTGACTTATTTCAGCATTGGTGAAGGAATCTCAAGCAGAAAAACTTCCACGAAGCAGGCATCAATTGTGTCAGAGCTGGAACATAAGCTTCCCCAGATATGTGCTTGTGTAGTTATCTGTGACTGACAGTAAGCCAAGCCATGGAAATGATTCCCTGTCCTCCTCAATGCAAAGGAAAAGGCACCATCACCAGCAGCCAGTGGCTCTTTGGAAGCATTTCTTGAGAAGCCATAATTTCTGTCTCTGTGCAGTGGAGCTCCTGGAAATCCGACTAAGAGCTGCATAGGGTGGTGATAGCTGTGAGGCTATCCTGGAACATGGTTGTTATACAGATAATTTTTTTCTAGGAAAGCTGCCTTAAAACAAAAATTTCAAAGTTGAGTTCTCTGGATTTTATCGAAGACATCTATGCTTATACAAATAAAAAGAAAGGGTGGGGAGGTGAACAGGCCCAGAGCATCCTATTTGGGCTTGGCCACATGAATTTATGAGTCTGCATTTAGTCCCAGAAAGTAAGGAGTAATTTTAAGCTGCACTGACATAAAGGGACAGGACAAAAATAACAGCATTGCTGACAGATACATGCTATAAGGAATCACAAGGAAAGGATGAAGGCATAGAAAGCATTCTTTTTCCCTCTGGTCCTTAAAGTTATTCCAACCACTAAATATTAAAGTTGACAATATTTGGAATGTAACACTCAGATATGTGTGACTCCTCTCACTAAGCTTTTACCTGCATCTTCCAAACCTGCACAATACAACCAACTCAAGAAGTACTATATGTTGAAACCAGAGCATCCTTTCTCCCTTAGCAGCTGTAAGTAGCATTTCAAGTGCAAACCACCTCAGCAATGGTAATCTCTAAGTACTCTAACCACAACAATCATCCAGACCCTGGGAAACTGAGGGAGAATAACACACAGCTGTTTTCTTAGCTGCATATCTTGCTCATGAATGCTGAGACTAGCAAATCTCGAGGTTCTGAGAAGGGAGTAAAAATTAGGTAACATATTCAGTGTTTACAATGTCAACCCATGCTGGGAATAGTTTGGTTTATTAATGACAGAAAAGATCTGCCTTTACTCTTTCTACTTTCTTGTTTCATGATAAAAAGCATTTTATGTTCTTCCTTCTACAACCCTCTTCTCTTTAAGGGAGTTACACTGCACAATACTTAGGACATGGGGACATATGTTGTAACTTGAACATTACAGCTGGACAACATTTCTGCAAAGAAAAGGTGTTTATTTCAAACAATATTCACTCACAGTTTTTGCTACAACAAAAATATTTAAAGAGAGCTGAGAAATCTAATAATATTTAAGATCATTATTGGCTGTTTTCTGATTTGCAAGCAGAGCTGCAAATTATTTTTTTTGCTTGAAAATATTTTCTACCAGAAATTTATTTCATCTTCATAAACAGTGTCCAAAGCAACTTCTTAAGCTGCTGCTTTATTTTTAGTCTACTGATGTTATTGTAAAAAGATAATAAAAAATATTTGTCAAAATCACGTTGTGAAGTAGTTTGCATTTTTTGCAAATCCTAGGAAAATACCTTTTGGCATACTAGCACATGTAAAGAGTATATAGATTACAT